TATCTAGAACTTCAGACTTTGTTGGATTGGGAAGTAGTAACTATGGTTATACTCATAACCAACCATTTCCCTACCCTTCATATCCCATTCCTGTTGGGATGGAATCGAGCGACTCATGGAATCAATCCCAGCCTCAATCTTCAAATGATTTTTCTTATGGACAACCTCAACCAATCTCGGATCCATATGGGTGACATATTAACAATTACATGCAAAACTATTTTGGGGATTTATCATTTGATAACTACTCTTCACAATACACTCATTCTACACATAGAGATGATGAAGATAATGACAAATTTGAACCTCATAGGAACTCTATGTTGTACTAAAGTGTAAAATATTGTACTAATTCATTATATATAAATGATTATGGTGTGTTTAGACTTCTTTCATTAATTACTACATATTTTCTACACTCATAATGTTTGTCAGATCACTATATAATCAACTTGATAATGTTAAATCCATCATGCAATGCATTTCTTTCCAATTTTTTGTGATAAACTAATATATAATTGACTAAATAAACATCCTACAAAGTTTCAATAAAAATTTCCAAGTTTTTCTTACAATTTCCGTGGTTTCCATGTAATTTTTATCGATATCGATATTTTACCGATATTTCCATCGATATTTCCGTGTTTTCAGACTACCGATATTTCCGATATCACCGATATTTTCTTCCTTGCTCTGTGTAACCATCTATCGAATCCCCCATCCCTCCCTTTTCTCACTCTGTAATTTCCCTCAAATCCCTCGCCGATTCTCTCTCGCCATTCTCATTCTCAGTCTACCCTTTCTCAGCTTGCAGCTCCATGCTCCACCTCCAGATTATAGCATCGGGTGTAAGGTTTTCCTTTTCTGTTTTCTTTTTCCCGATTTGTTGAATTTGTATTTTATTGTTTTCCTATCACCCTTTGACGACAAGGTAGCAATTGTGACGGCTTCCACTCAAGGCATTGGCTCTTGAAGGCGCCTCCGTCGTCATCTCCTCCCGCAAGCGGGTCACTCTCCGACACTCCGGAGGCGGTACAGTAGCGAGGAGGATTCGGATCCGGAGTACGGAGACAGGAGGCGGAAAACGATGAGGAGGAGGAAGAAAGATGATGATAGAGAAAATAAGAGGAGGAAGAGAGATAAGGAGAGGAAGAGAAGGAGGAGAGAGAGATGAAGAAGAAGGAGAGAGGAAAGGTAGGAGCGGTGATGAATTCATGGGGGAAGTATGGGATCATCAGAGAAACTGATATGTGGTATGTTTGCTGAATTTTCTACTGTTTTAGGGTTTTAAAGTTTCTGTTTGGCTGATGAGGAAACGTAGGAAAAAGAGATTTACTTCTCCCACTTGAATTTGATTGTTTTGTATAGGAACAAACGACCAGAGTTCACAGCATGGTTACTGGAAGTAAAACAGGTAATTCATTTTCCAACTATTTTACTACCACACGAAACCATTAACTTGCAGAGGGGTTTATCTTATTAATAAAGTTTCTAAGGTTGTAGAGTTTACTTTTTGATTTGTATGTGTTTCGAAGCCTGTGTTGATCCGTTTCGGAATTGCAGTCGTTGATAAGATAGTTCTAATGGTAATTGTTTTATCTTTCATTAGGTGAACTTGGAACATCTGGCAAATTGGGAAGAGAAACAGATGTTCAAACAGTAAGTGGGTGTGTGTGTTTACAGATGTGTGGATGCATTTAGTTTATCTTCTCCAAAAGCATCTTTATAATGAAGATAACATGAATTTGCTAGGGTTTTTTTTTATATTTTGTTTCTTACAATTTGAGTAGAAATTTGTTTCCATTTTATTAGGTTCATGGAAGATCACAGTACAGCTAGCTTCCCGTTGAAAAGTAAGCTTCTATTGTATTAGCTTGGGGCAGTTTAATTTACTTGCCAGAAAAGAAAAAGTTATAAAGCTTTGTTCCTGCTGTTGTGTTCTCTCCTTTTAGGTAGAAATTATATCTTAATGTGCTTAAGCACCTGAATTTAGGCTAGGTCTAATGAAATGATATGCCATATTTTATAGATCAGTCACAATATTTTTGAACCCGAGGTTGTGGTGTTCACACTTTTTCTCTTAGGATTTAGAGGGCGATACAATGTGTGTATGATCTAATTTGAGTGAAATATCCTTCTTGATTTGCCTAATTCTTTCAAGTGTTATCATAACTTTGTGTGTGATTGATCATTGTGTATAACCAATATACCAGACAACATAACTGAAGGCCATGCCTGCAGAGACTGAACCATAACCGAAGCCCATGCCTGCATCAATTGATTGAAAAGGTAAAAATCATTTCCAAATCTTTTGTGCAATGCGGTTAGGTTTGCACGGCCTATTTATTTGTTGCATTTTATTTTTGGCCTGAAATTATGCTGATATTTTCTAGGTTGTGTGAAATTTCACTAAATCAAATATGAAATCGTCTTAATTTTCACGGCATTATCGATATCGGCCCCGATTATTTTTCTGTGAATGAAGCTTGGAAATTGGAATAGATGGCCCTGGTTGTGTGAAATGTTTGGATGGGATTTTGTATTATTCCATTAAACAAAATTAATTCTCTATGCGAAGCCAAATATTTGATTTTTCACTGTGGTTTGTTACTTTGATGGTTGATCACAAATGTAATTTCTTTCTTTTTTTCTTATGCGTTCTTTGTAGCACCCTCCCCTCACTTTCTCAATTATTGGTTGGGAATGCAAAAATGGATGAGCTGAGAAAAGGAGAGATGTTAGTTTTCTACATTTGACTAGAACCATACAACAACAACAACAACAACAACAAAGCCTTTTCCCACTAAGTGGGGTCGGCTATATGAATCCTAGAACGCCATTGCGCTCGGTTTTGTGTCATGTCCTCCGTTAGAACCAAGTACTCTAAGTCTTTTCTTAGAGTCTCTTCCAAAGTTTTCCTAGGTCTTCCTCTACCCCTTTGGCCCTGAACCTCTGTCCCGTAGTCACATCTTCGAACCGGAGCGTCAGTAGGCCTTCTTTGCACATGTCCAAATCACCGGAACCGATTTTCTCTCATCTTTCCTTCAATTTCGGCCACTCCTACTTTACCTCGAATATCCTCATTTCCAATCTTATCATTTCTTGTGTGCCCACACAACCCACGAAGCATCCTCGTCTCCGCCACACCCATTTTGTGTACGTGTTGATGCTTCACCGCCCAACATTCTGTGTCATACAACATCGCTGGCCTTATTGTCGTCCTATAAAATTTTCCCTTGAGCTTCAGTGGCCTACGACGGTCACACAACCCGCCGGATGCACACTTACACTTCATCTATCCAACTTCTATTCTATGGTTGAGATCTCTCATCTAATTCTCCGTTCTCTTGCAAGATAGATCCTAGGTAGCGAAAACGGTCGCTTTTTGTGATCTTCGCTAGATTGCTCCGATCATTAGTGTGGATAAGTATATAAATGGATATAGATAGGAAAGCAAACACAAGATGTACGTGGTTCACCCAGATTGGCTACGTCCACGGAATAGAGGAGTTCTCATTAATTGTGAAGGGTTTACACAAGTACATAGGTTCAAGCTCTCCTTTAGTGAGTACAGGTGAATGATTTAGTACAAATGACATTAGGAAATATTGTGGGAGAATGATCTCGTAATCACGAAACTTCTAAGTATCGGAATGTGGTATCGTCTTGACTTGCCTTATCTGTCTCATAGGTAGATGTGGCATCTTCTCTGGAAGTACTCTTCCTCCATCCAGGGGTGGTATCTTTAACTGGTGGAGATGCACAAGGTAATGTATCAATTTCACTTGAAGCTTACTTGTAGTTTCAGGCTTGGTCAAGCGCGATACAAACCATGTAGTAGGAGTCCCCCAAGTCGCCGAGCTAGGGGATTTGCTGAAAGAGGTGACAGACAAGGTAAGCAATCAGAGCTCCGGCTGATTGTTCACATTCTCCCTATCTTGCAGGCAGCATGAAGGATAAAGAGAAGAAAAATGAGAAGAGATGATATGGGAGATACTTTTGCTTTTGAAGAAGTAACTTTCCACAGGCTTATTCTTGAACTGAGCTGGAGGGTTTTCTGGTTTCCTCCAGAGTATAAGGCCGACTGAAGAATTTGAGGGTCAAAACAAGTCCATCAAATCTAGAGTACGTTCGACCCTGCTGATATGGGATACTTTTGCTTTGACAGAGTAATGGATGTATCGGCACGTGTGCTGTTACGCTTGTCTCCACATGCTTCCTTGTATCCTTCTCACTTGCCCTATCTGTTCCTCAGGCAGATGCGGTATCTTCCCTGGAAGCATAAGATGTTGAAGATGAGTACTCGAGAGCAATGCCAGGTAAGTAAGTTCCAGGTAGTCAGTTCCTGGCTGGAAGCTTGATTCCAAGTGCTGACTGATTGCTCTCTTTCTCCTTGTCTTGCAGGTAAGAACAAGGCCAAAGGAAAAGACAGGGAAAAAGCATGATATGGGATACTCTTGCTTTTAACCCTGATGATATGAGATATTCTTGCTCTAGTATAACTTGTTTGCAGAGGTATTATCGGGGGGAAAGAAAGCTGAATATTTCGAAAGGCTTCGTTGAGGAGTGCCCTCTCATATATGAGGAAGGGTTGAGCATTTTTGCAGGTCTGTCCTGTCCGTTGGGGATGGAGGTTGACATATATAGGAGTCTCCTAACAACAAGTAGTAATGCTATTCCTTTACCCTGTCAGAGCACTTTGAAAAAAGTGGTCTGTGGTATGTGGAAAGCTGATGTTGCGTGTGAAGAGATTACAGACAGCTTTATCCAATGAGATCCGGCTCTTGTAGTTGGAAAGTGTTGCCTCTTCGGTTTTCGAACAAGCAATCCTATCAGGGATCTGGCTCTCGAGATTCGGAGAACGATGTCTCTTCGATTTTTGAGAAAGTAATCATGTTGGGAGTCTGGCTCTCGAGATTCGGAGGGCGGTGCCTCTTCGATTTTGGAGCAAGCAATCTTGTTGGGGAGTGTTTTCTCGAATGTGAGTAAAGGTTGGGCATGTTTGCTAGTCTACCTTGCCACGAAGCACAGAGGTTGACACACAGGGACTTTCCAATTATCCAGCAATGGTACTGTTTCTTTACCCTCTCTTCGATTTTTGAGAAAGTAGTCATGTTGGGAGTCTGGCTCTCGAGATTCGGAGGACGGTGCCTCTTCGATTTTGGAGCAAGCAATCTTGTTGGGAGTGTTTTCTCGAATGTGAGTAAAGGTTGGGCATGTTTGCTAGTCTACCTTGCCACGAAGCACAGAGGTTGACACACAAGGACTTTCCAATTATCCAGCAGTGGTACTGTTCCTTTACCCTTGTGGGTAATAATATGGGGTAGCTAGACCTTCAAAATTTATGTGTCTAAACTTTGTTAGTGCTGTTTCTTTGCTATTCTTTTACCCCGTCTTGGTCAGAGCGATGTAGTGGGAGCTGCAAGCTTCACGTGCTCAACTTTGGCAGAGAACTTTGGCAAAGTTATCTGTGGTACCATGAACTATTGTTGCGTGTGGGAAGTGGGTGATTGAACAGTAAGATTCATGTGCTTTCTACTTCACCAGAAGTCTTCGACAGAATGCCCATAATTTCCGCAAAGCTGAGTGTGCGTGTGACAGGTGCTGACAAGGCTGGAAAAAAGTAGGTGCCTCTTCGATTTTTGAGATCGGCCCTCGTGGTCTCTGAGCAGCCCAGCTTTTGAGAAAAGCAAGCGCCTCTTCGATTTCTGAGATCGGCCTTCGTGGTCTTTGAGCAGCCCAACTTTTGAGAAAGCAAACGCCTCTTCGATTTCTGAGATCGAACCCTCGTGGTCTCTGAGCAGCCCAGCTTTTGAGAAAGCAAACGCCTCTTCGATTTCTGAGCAGGCGCCCTCTTCGATTTCTGAAGCTCCGTCGAGTGCAGATTTTTTATAGGGGCTGGCATTAAGTTCCAAAGCACACTTGAATCTCCACCAGTAGAAGCTCCATTCTTGCACTTCTAAGATCTTGATTTGTTCCGACCTCTTCTCTCTTCAACACCTTTGAAAATGTCTGGCCCCTCCGACCGTCGTTTTGACTTGAACCTTGTTGAAGAGGCAGCCCCGCCTTCTCCAGACAACATATGGCGCCCATCCTTCGTCTCCCCTACTGGTCCTCTTACCGTTGGGGATTCCGTGATGAAGAATGATATGACCGCTGCGGTGGTGGCCAGGAACCTTCTCACTCCCAAAGATAACAGACTACTTTCCAAACGGTCTGATGAGTTAGCTGTTAAGGATTCTCTGGCTCTCAGTGTTCAGTGTGCAGGTTCTGTGTCTAATATGGCCCAACGCCTATTTGCTCGAACCCGCCAAGTTGAATCATTGGCGGCTGAAGTGATGAGTCTCAAACAGGAGATTAGAGGGCTCAAGCATGAGAATAAACAGTTGCACCGGTCTCGCACATGACTATGCTACAAACATGAAGAGGAAGCTTGACCAGATGAAGGAATCTGATGGTCAGGTTTTACTTGATCATCAGAGATTTGTGGGTTTGTTCCAAAGGCATTTATTGCCTTCGTCTTCTGGGGCTGTACCGCGTAATGAAGCTCCAAATGATCAACCTCTGATGCCTCCTCCTTCTAGGGTTCTGTCCAGTACTGAGGCTCCGAATGATCCCCCTCCGGTGCCTTCTCTTTCTGGGGCTCTACCGACTGCTGAGACTTCTCCTAAGCAACCTTTGTGAAGGCTCCCTCTTGTTTGTTTATTTTGACTCATGTATATGTACATATTTGTAGCTTATCGGGGATATCAATAAATAAGTTTTTCCTTCATTTCAACGTATTGTGTTAAATACACCAAAGCCTTCTTCGCTAAGTTCTTTGAATTTTCTTTTGTTGAAGCTTGTATGTTGAAGCTGGAGCATGTAGGTTGAGGTAGTGTTCCCTTAATTTCCTGAGTGAGGAAAACTTCTCGGTTGGAGACTTGGAAAATCCAAGTCACTGAGTGGGATCGGCTATATGAATCTTAGAACGCCATTGTGCTCGGTCCTGTGTCATGTCCTTCGTTAGATCCAAGTACTCTAAGTCTTTTCTTAGAGTCTCTTCCAAAGTTTTCCTAGGTCTTCCTCTACCCCTTCGGCCCTGAACCTCTGTCCCATAGTCGCATCTTCTAATCGGAGCGTCAGTAGGCCTTCTTTGCACATGTCCAAACCACCGTAACCGATTTTCTCTCATCTTTTCCTTCAATTTCGGCTACTCCTACTTTACCCCGGATATCCTCATTCCTAATCTTATCCTTTCTCGTGTGCCCACACATCCAACGAAGCATCCTCATCTCCGCTACACCCATTTTGTGTACGTGTTGATGCTTCACCGCCCAACATTCTGTGCCATACAGCATCGCCGGCCTTATTGCCGTCCTATAAAATTTTCCCTTGAGCTTCAGTGGCATACGGCGGTCACACAACACGCCGGATGCACTCTTCCACTTCATCCATCCAGCTTGTATTCTATGGTTGAGATCTCCATCTAATTCTCCGTTCTTTTGCAAGATAGATCCTAGGTAACGAAAACGGTCGCTCTTTGGTATTTCTTGATCTCCGATCCTCACCCCTAACTCGTTTTGGCCTCCATTTGCACTGAACTTGCACTCCATATATTCTGTCTTTGATCGGCTTAGGCGAAGACCTTTAGATTCCAACACTTCTCTCCAAAGGTTAAGCTTTGCATTTACCCCTTCCTGAGTTTCATCTATCAACACTATATCGTCTGCGAAAAGCATACACCAAGGAATATCATCTTGAATATGTCCTGTTAACTCATCCATTACCAACGCAAAAAGGTAAGGACTTAAGGATGAGCCTTGATGTAATCCTACAGTTATGGGAAAGCTTTCGGTTTGTCCTTCATGAGTTCTTACGGCAGTCTTTGCTCCTTCATACATATCCTTTATAGCTTGGATATATGCTACTCGTACTCCTTTCTTCTCTCTAAAATCCTCCAAAGAATGTCTCTTGGGACCCTATCATACGCTTTTTCCAAATCTATAAAGACCATGTGTAAATCCTTTTTTCCCATCTCTATATCTTTCCATCAATCTTCGTAAGAGATAGATTGCCTCCATGGTTGAGCGCCCTGGCATGAACCCGAATTGGTTGTCCGAAACCCGTGTCTCTTGCCTCAATCTATGCTCAATGACTCTCTCCCAGAGCTTCATTGTATGACTCATTAGCTTAATACCCCTATAGTTCATGCAATTTTGTACGTCGCCCTTATTCTTGTAGATAGGCACCAAAGTGCTCGTTTCGCCACTCATTTGGCATCTTCTTCGTTTTCAAAATCCTATTGAAAAGGTCAGTGAGCCATGTTATACCTGTCTCTCCCAAAAACTTTCCACACTTCGATTGGTATATCGTCTGGGCCTATTGCTTTTCTATGCTTCATCTTCTTCAAAGCTACAACCACTTCTTCCTTCCGGATTCGACGATAAAAAAGAGTAGTTTCTACACTCTTCTGAGTTACTCAACTCCCCTAAAGAAGCACTCCTTTCATGTCCTTCATTGAAAAGATTATGAAAATAACCTCTCCATCTGTCTTTAACCGCGTTCTCTGTAGCAAGAACCTTTCCATCCTCATCCTTGATGCACCTCACTTGGTTTAGGTCCCTTGTCTTCTTTTCCCTTGCTCTAGCTAGTTTATAGATATCCAACTCTCCTTCTTTGGTATCTAGTCGTTTATACATATCGTCGTAAGCCGCTAACTTAGCTTCTCTCACAGCTTTCTTCGCCTCTTGCTTCGCTTTTCTATACCTTTCACCATTTTTCATCGGTCCTATCCTTGTATAAGGCTTTACAACATTCCTTCTTAGCCTTCACCTTTGTTTGTACCTCCTCATTCCACCACCAAGATTCCTTTTGGTGTGGGGCAAAGCCCTTGGACTCTCCTAATACCTCTTTTGCTACTTTTCGGATACAACTAGCCATGGAATCCCACATTTGGCTAGCTTCCCCCTCTCTATCCCACACACACTGGGTGATTACTTTCTCTTTGAAAATGGCTTGTTTTTTCTTCTTTTAGATTCCACCATCTAGTCCTTGGGCACTTCCAAGTCTTGTTCTTTTGTCTCACTCTTTTGATATGTACATCCATCACCAACAAGCGATGTTGATTAGCCACGCTCTCTCCTGGTATAACTTTGCAATCCTTACAAGTTATACGATCCCCTTTCCTCATTAGAAGAAAATCTATTTGTGTTTTTGACGACCCACTCTTGTAGGTGATCACATGTTCTTCTCTCTTCTTAAAGAAGGTGTTGGCTAAGAAGAGATCATATGCCATTGCAAAATCCAAGATAGCTTCCCCATCCTCGTTTCTCTCCCCAAAACCATGGCCACCATGAAAACCTCCATAGTTGCCTGTCTCCTTGCCCACGTGTCCATTTAAATCTCCTCCTATAAATAACTTCTCCGTCTGAGCAATTCCTTGCACCAAGTCTCCAAGATCTTCCCAAAATTTTCTCCTTCGAACTCGTATCCAACCCTACTTGAGGTGCGTACGCACTAATCACATTGATAAGTTCTTGTCCTATTACAATCTTGATTGCCATGATTCTATCTCCTACCCTCTTGACATCTACAACATCTTGTACCAAGGTCTTGTCCACGATGATGCCAACACCGTTTCTCGTTCTATTTGTGCCCGAATACCAAAGTTTAAACCCTGAGTTTTCTAGATCCTTTGCCTTACTACCAACCCACTTAGTTTCTTGTAGGCACATAATATTTATCCTTCTCCTCACCATAACTTCCACTACTTCATAGATTTTCCCGTTAAGGTTCCTATATTCCACGTTCCTAAACGCATTTTGCTCTCTTGAACTCTACCCTTCTGTCCTAGCTTCTTCACCCTCCCCCGTCTAATAGGATCAAAGTACTTCTTTTGTGTGTCCCGGGTAAAGTTGATAGGAGCATATGCTCCCAAACAACTTTGAGTGGAGTCGTTCGAAAAGAAGTTTCTATGGCCCCCTTGCTCATTTAACACTGCATCCGGATGCCGATGGAGATACAGCGACCCTTGCTCACTTATCACTGTGCTCGGGCCGCACAGCGCGCCACTTACGGGTGACGCCCTAGCTTTAGCGCTATTTTGTTCTGGATTCATTTTCATAAGGATTCGACGTGATCATGGAGTGCCGGCTGTCGACTACCTGACGCCCTCCCCCTCCTCCTTTATCCGGGCTTGGGACCGGCCATGTAAGACATAGGCGGAGTTATTTGACTAGAACCATATTTAAAATTTTTTATATCTGAAATATTATTGATCAATTGTAACTTGCCCTGTTGCTATTTGCTAATGACAGAGGCTAGGAAGATTGTACTTATTCTGTTCGTAGATGCAAGCCTAGAAATTAAGTGTGTATAGGGTTAAATCAATTGATGCTATAGTATTTGTTAAAATTGTTAGATTTAGGGGTTTGGTAAATTGATTTTAGAGATGTTATTTTTAAGGTACCTTTGACTCTTAATTGCCATATGGCATTCAATATATACTCTATTGCTTGCTGGGGTTTACCCTTTGGAGCATTTTATTACGTTTCTTCTTGCTCACTGACTGAAAATTTTAAACGCTCTAGGTGAATGTAGATGCTGCAAAACCCTGCCCGAAAAAGGGATGAAAGCCAGCAATTCAACTTGCTACTGCGATACACAGGTATGTTGAAAACTTTCCCAAATCCTCTGTGGTTACACAATTATACAGGTGTGTATGTACAGCTTTATACATGCATCTATGGAAATGCATATGTTTGAGCCTGGTTTTTGTTTTAATTTATAGGCTGGTTGTCAGGTTCTAGCTGTGTGAAGTTTATGTCGTTAATTTTAATTTTTTATGAAAGTAGCTCATGTTTGCTTACCCAGCGGTGGTTGTTCTGATTTAGTGGTTAAAAATGGAAATTTCACTCGCAATACGGGATTAATTGAGGTTCATGCATGCATCATTGGTGTAAATTTGAGAGACGGAATGATATATGTATGTGTAAAATCCCTCCGTTTGGTTTTTTATTGCATTGTTTAAGTGGTGAATTGCACAGAAAATGGGGGAAGAGAGGGGTACAAATTATTTTACGAGTTTAAAATTGCTCATTTTGCACCACACTAGCAGTTTGACTGTTATCAAATTGGATGTGTGTTTTCTCTTGATTTCAATTCTTGGTTCTATCCATTTTGCACCCCTATTAATTCCCAAATCATTTGTCATATAGATTGACATAAAAAAAAACAGAGAGACAATTATGGAGTGCATACTGATGCTGCATGCACTACCCAGTCTGCCATCAACAGTGGTGTAATACTTCATTAGGTACACAGTACACTCATTCCCTTTATAATTGGGTTTAGTACGAAAATTTTCAAAATTTTCAAGCTGGTAAATATGATTTGGTTCTGTTTGATTGATTGTTTATTTAGGGTTTTTCTTTATAATTCAGTAAATGATTGCTCCTTTGGCTATAAAATTTGACCCCTATAAATTTCCAGGTTATTCTGGGACTTTGTCAACAGCGCAGAGTTCTCTTCACGGCGCATCACTATTCCGTGCAGCATAGCTCGGTAGCAGTTTTAGGTGAGTCTCAATTGCCCATTACTGTTCATCTTCTTTTGAATTTCTGTGCAAATATTTTTGAAGTCCAAGTGATTCAAATTTCAAATTTGTGTAAATTGATAAGTGTGGGTGTAGACACCCAATATGGCTTTTACATGGTGTTGCTATCTGGTTTTTGACAGAATTATATTGGGGACTGTCCAGATTTTGGTTTAGCTGCAGATGAAGCAAGATCAAGAGGTTATAAATTAGAGGTATAATTTATTTTTTATATTTGATGCATCGTTGGATTAATGAATACAGTAGGAACATTGACTTGGTGTATGTGTTTTCATTCATTTTTTAGAATGGAAAACTGAATTTTGTGTGTTTATGACTCTGTATATACTCTGTACTTATTTTAATTACAGTAAAAGTGATTGAAAATAGCATTATTTGGTAGTAAGGAAAATTAGGGTTTCAATTAAAGGATGGCCGGAGGAGGAGGAAGACCTTTGGAGCAAGCACCAACTAGGGCAGTTGTCGATGTTTGTTTTGTTTTGGTTTTGGTTTCGATCCACATCGAATATTTCATTCATTTAATGGAAAGGTTTCCTTTCACACGTAATTGGGTTAATTTCATCTTATGAAGTCACTTTCGGGTTTATTATGAATGCAAAATGAGGTATTTTGATTAAATTTTAATTGCACTCCTTGCAATGGTTGACAAAGAGAAACAAAAGAGCTCTCTATGAAGCTCTTGAGAATATGGTATTAGGGTTCCTATCTTTGCATCTAACAGTAGGATAAGATCGCATTTCAGATATATGTACGTCGAAGGTTGTTGGAACAACTTGGCATCCATGCAATAATAAGCAAGATGTCAAATCGGACAAAGGCAAAGATAAGAGTGGTGCTTCAGATGACAACTCCCACGGAAGGCTTCTCTCAGCCTTGAATTCCAGTGGGGGGTGACCGATATGAGCTGCTGGAGATGACAAATGTGCTCCCAAGGTGCACTGGATTGTCCATGCTTTTAGTTTTATCAAATATGACAAGTTGATATACATGTTTTCTTTGTTTTTTGACTCATACAAATGAAACTAAATGTGATTTTACAAGGTTGCTTTGATTGTTGCCAATTGATTCTAAAGCAATCTCCACTGTTGTCTTGCATATGATCTTAAATGCCATCTCTGTAGCTACGAATGTGCTATACTTACTGTTAACGTGATTCTTAAACCATTTGTGCTAATTGTACAATGTCTTTTCATGTCAACTGAGTTGAATGTAGATAAAAGCCAAGCTGCATATCTTACTAACCCCATTCACTGCATATCCCTGAGTTCATTCATGATTGTGTTCAATTTATTCAGGTTAAATGTGTCTTATTCATGTGGTTGAGGGTACATTCAATTCCCGCAGCAAAGCGCGGACATATTTTCTAGTTTATCCTAATCTCACTCCATGAACTGTTCAAACTACATTTAACATGAACATTATACTGCATAAAATCAGCATTAGACAAATCTAATCAAGGGTTTGGAGCTAGAAGCTTAGCTAAAAAATTTCATCATACAATCAACAACAACCAAGGCTAATCAAGTTTTTTGGATTTAGACACAATTTTTTTTTGAACCTGAAATTTGGCCTTTCAATTTAACTCTGCGCTGCTTGTGGAAAAACCGCAACCGCCAAAGGTAAGGTTTTGATAGAGAATCAAAGAACCCACGAGGGAAGCTAACTCGGGAATACAATGTAGAAGCTAAAGCCCAAGTGCCATGAGAGATGATTTTATACCTTTTGCCACTGACAAATGCGGAGAATTCCGACTTTGAAAAAGTAAAAAAAAAAAAAAAACCTCAAAACGAAATGGTTAATATACGGTTAAAGTATGAATTTTTTTAATTCAAATTAGAATTATCAATTGGTTGTTTTTATTTAAACCCCATAATTTGTTAAAAACACCCTACATTCAAAATTTATTCTTACAATTCCAGCTTTACCTTTCGTTTTGTTGAATCCACCTAATCTCCCACCCATAAACAATAAAATCCCACAGCTACCCACCCCACAACCACAACCACAACTTCGCCGGTGACCCCATTCAATCTTAATTTTCTCTCTTTCATAGTTATGCTTTTGTTTGGCATTTGACATAGGATTGACGGGAATGATCACACATGCATTGGGCTACTGCGATTATGGATGAAAATGCAGCCTATAAAACTGTTAAAAACCCCTTTCCATCATTTCCATGATAGGCTGTTTGGATGTTACGATGAAATTTTTATCTTTCCCTCATAAGCTAGTTTAGATTTATAAAGTGTATAGCTAACCGTATGAAATTTCAATTTTATGTTTTGGCTAGGTTGAATGGAATCACAAGAGAAGAGTGGTGGTAGTGGGTGGGTGGGTGGGTGGCTGTGTTAGATTTTTTGTATTTGGGAGGTGGGGTGAATTCAACAAAAGGAAGGGTAAAGTGGAATTGTAGGTAAAAAGGGTGTGAGAGAAGTAAAAATGATCCCCTAAAAAAACCCTTTATCAATTTTATGCAAATAAAATAAAAGGGGATGATAATATTTGAAATCCCTATGTTCCTTGAAATTATGTGAGTTTTGTCAAATATTTGTTGAAGCAGATTCATTCCTTCGTATATCATCCTCAGCAAAAGTTTTCCGAAAAGAGGATTTAAGCACGGCCTCGCTGACTCACTAAAGATGATGCGGGCAACAACAGCTGCTGCTGCTTCTTTTTTGAAGGTTGGTTATGGCAGCAGCAGCACCAGAGGTATGCCTCCTTTTCTTCTTCGAGCTTCTTCTGTTGTTATTTTCAACACTTACTTGGCTTTGTTTCACTCTCGACCTTCTAAATCGACCGAATCTAGAAACACCCAACACTACCAGCTTGTGAAAATCACTAATGTTGAGGATGCTCTCAATGTGTTCGACGAAATGCTTCACAGGCGTCCTCTGCCTTCCGTTGTCCTTTTCAATCAAGTGTTGGGTCAACTTGCCAAGTTGAAGCATTACTCGACAGTCATCTCCTTGAATAACCAAATGGTTGCGTCAGGAATTCGTCCTGATGTTTATACCTTAAACATTATCATTAATTGCTTTTGCCATATGCACCAAATGGGGTTTAGCTTGTCTATCTTGGGAAAATTCTTCAAATTTGGTTTTGAACCGGATGTCACAACCTTCACCACTCTAATCAACGGCTTTCTTCTTGAGGATGGAGAGGCTGAGGCAGCAGCACTTTTCAACAAAATGATGGAGGGAGGTAATTGCAAGCCGAATGTGGTTACTTTCAACACACTAGTAAAGGGCCATTGCTTGAAAGGTAACAACACTGAAGCTATCCAGTTGCTTAAGAAGATGGAAGAAGGAAATTGCAAGCCTGGCGTAGTTGCCTATAGCACTGTCATTGACAGTCTTTGCAAGGATACTCTAGTTGTTGATGCACTGAAGCTCTTCTCAGAAATGACGAGTAAGGGTATTGCCCCAAATGTCATTACCTATAACTCTTTGATTCATTGAGTTTGCAAATTGGGAAATTGGAAAGAAGCTACAAGATTGTTGAATGAAATGGTGAGTAAACATATCTTTCCAGATGTGTGCACCTTCAGTGTTTTGGTTGATACATTTTGTAAAGAGGGGATGGTCCAGGAAGCAAGGAGCGTGGTCGAAATGATGACGCAAAGGAATATAGCACCCGATACAATTACGTACACTTCACTTATAGATGGTTACTGTTTGCGAGGAGAAATGGACGAGGCTAAAAAGGTTTTTGAAATAATGCTTAGCAAAGGCTGCATGGTTGATGCTCGTAGCTATAACGTATTGATAAACGGCTATTGTAAGCGTAAAAGGATAGATGATGCTCAGATGATTCTTCTGGAAATGTCTCATAAGGGTGTTGTTCCAGATACGGTTACTTATAGTACTCTTATTGATGGGTTTTGCAAGATGGGGAGAACACAAGATGCACAAAACTTGTTCTCTCAAATGCAAGCTTGTGGCCAACTTCCAGACATTCAAACTTATTCTATTTTATTGCATGGCATGTGTGCAAACCAACAATTTTCCAAGGCAGCTGAATTGTTGGAAGAGATGGAGGGAAAGAAGTTGGATTTTGGTATTGTAACTTACAATATTCTTATTGAAGGTTTGTGCAAAGCTGAAAAAGTTGAATATGCATGGGATCTCTTCCGTCGTTTATCATCAAAAGGAATTCAACCTAATGTCAGGACATATACTATAATGATCAGTGGATTTTGTAATGGCGGACTTACATGTGAAGCAGAAAACTTGCTTAGAGAAATGGAAGAGAGAGATTGTTCTCCAAATGATTTCACGTACAACACAATTATCCGTGGGTTATTCAATAACAACGAGACATCAAAGTCTGTGAGGCTTATTCAAGAAATGGTGGAGAGGGGTTTTTCTGCAGATGCATCAACTACGGAGTTGGTCGTTAATTTATTGTCTAAAGACAAAGTAGATCCCACTTTGTTGAAATTTATAGAAAGACCGTGTTGAAATTTATTTGCAGTTTTGACGAGTTTGGCTGCATCCTTCCCTTGAATGCTGCATTGGAGGGAGTTGTTCCTGTGCTGAGTCCAGTTCAAGGAGCCATTCATGCATCGCCTGGTGACTTATGGTATCTGTTATTAATTTTATCTATCAAGTGATAGAGCAACTTTTATGTTGCTCTTTTAAGATTGTGAAATTTGTTGGAGAAGCAAATTTTGTGGACTGATATGAAATTCGTAAACATATTTATGGCTTGGTTTAACTTCTCCTTTATTTTTTTGGTAATAATTCTGTTAAGGACATTATTTATAAATAATTTTAAAGGATATGAGTCCGATAGCTGCAGGTGGAGGACTCGATTAATTTCTTAAAATTCTGCACTTCCTCTAACATCAGATACAATATAAACACATCTGATCAAATGATGCATCGGAATTCCATCACGAAAGGACCAATCTAATCCGATCAACTGATGTCAGACGTGGTTAAACGAAGAATTTACGAATTCCATCTTTGCTTAAATATGTTTTCTATGTGCACTAGAAATATTGAAAGAAGAGAAGGCCATCTCTCAGTATACAGAAGCCAATTTACACATTTTCAAGCATTCAGGCAAGGAAGAGTATTGTGAAGCTTCTTTTCAGACGCATAATTGTGCAATCCCCAGTGCTAGATCATCGGTATCCAGATGCCTTGCCACACCATCGCAATTTTTCTTTCACTCCCTTCCAAACCAAAGGAACTCAACGGAAGAAATTGAACTGGCCTCTTCTCAGTGATGCACGAGATTTGCAGAAAACTTCTTAGTTGCAAACAGCGTCCTAAACCTTTATGCTTACCACACTCAGAAATGCTATTGTTGAATTTATTTAGTTTAACATTAGTGGTCAACTTATTTCTCACCAACAACCAACCAAAAAATTTCATTTTGTGAGGAATATTTAGTTTCCAAATTTTGTTAAGTAGTCCCTTAAACATGTGACATTGGTTATCATCAATTTGAATTATGTGAGTTGATTTAACTGAGAACTCTCCATTACAGGTAGGGCCCCAAATCAGCTTATCTTCAACATCACTGATTGGAATAGGAATGGCTAAAATTTTGTCAACATTCCAACTTGTATCCATCATCACATTACTCACTTTTTTTATTTATTTTTTATTTATGTAAATTTGACCGCAAAGTCCGTCCCACTCCAGCATTGCTATCATGGGAAGAGACTTTGAGGATAATTTATTGATAAACAAGAAAAATACAATATGTCAGGAGGGACATGAGGCCAAACCCATACCATTTAAGAATTCATAACAACAATTCAAAACCTATTTTAGCAAAACCTATAAAAATGAAGATTAGGATGGTTGTGAGAATAAGCAGTTGCAACACAAGGAGGGCATGAATCCCACCAATGGACAGCGGGGTGATCAACACCATAATTGCCCAAACAATCAGTAACTTGATTACCCTCTCTAAAAATATGAGAAATCAGGACCTGCATGGAGGATATTAAAACTCGACAGTTATGCCAACTGACCAACAGCCTCCAAGGGATAGATGTCAAGGAAGGTGAGGATGAAGAAAGAAGATGAACAACCAGCGAGGAGTCACATTCAATCCATAAGGAATGCCGACCTTTATCCCAAGCTAGAGATACATCACATTACTCACTTTAAGGTTCCAACTAAAAGGGCTAAATATAGTCTCGTCTAAAATTATAGTCATATAAGAAATTATTTTTAAAATGAAGCCACATTCATATATGGATAATATTAGAAAGATTAAAATTTTTAAACCAAATCTGAAAACTAAATGATGTGTTTGTAGATAATTGGATTATTAATTAAGTGTCGATTAACATACGAGTTTTGTATTCGTTACACATCATTTAGTTTGCACATTTAATTTAAAATTTTGGTCATCCTAACAATACTCTTCATATATCATATTCAATTGAAAGTGCAAAACATAACTTTACATAAATTTCTGAATAATTTATTAGTTTTAAGTTTATTATTTTAATTTAGAGTAAACTGTCGATTTGCCCCCTGAACTTTTTAATTGGAAAATTAAGGACTTAAACTAATTTTTTTGGCCGATTTCCCCCCTACCGTTAGTTTTTCATAAATTTCATCCAAATTAACGTTAACTCTTATCATGTGCAAACCACGTAACTCTCATTTGTGGACAAAAGCGTCATTTCACTAGACCTTCAGACAGAAAAGCTATAGAATCACACATATTTGCATAGGTTTATATTTTAGAAATCTACGGTTTTCAATTATTTTAAAGAATGAAGTGACCGAACTACCCACACATGTTGTGCATATGCTTCCATTTAACAGAAATTTGGATGGAATGAATGAAAAATTAACAGCATGGGGCAAATCGGCCAAAAAAATTAGTTTAAGTCCTTAATTTTCCAATTAAAAAGTTCAAGGGGCAAATCGAAAGTTGGGTGATAGTTCAGGGGGCAAATCGACAGTTTACTCTTTAATTTATTGATACAAACGCCCCTCTAGGCTAAACAATTGTCTAGCTCCTGGTTTATAATGTAGCCAAGTGTCCCAAATAAAGTAATGGCCTAAAACAAACAATAATACCCCATATAAATTTGTCATAAGTTTTCTTCCGGTGATACAAACGATGCCTCTCAACTACTAGTTTTCTTCCGGCCGTTGGATTTGAATTAATTTATGCAGCATAAGAGCTAGGCCCTAGAAAACGGGCTGAATCGCTGAAGATGATGCGGGCAACGATTGCTGCTGCTGCTTCTTTGAAGGTTGGTTATGGCAGCAGAAGCAGCACCACCAGACTGAAACTCAAACTCAGAGGTATGCTGCCTTGTCTCTTCAATCTTCTTCTGTTGTTGTTTTCTTCAACAATTACTTGGCTTTCTTTCACTCTCGAAACACCCAACACCACCAGCTTGTGAAAATCACCAATGTTGAGGATGCTCTCAATATGTTCGACGAAATGCTTCAAAGGCGTCCTCTGCCTTCCGTTGTCCTTTTCACTCAAGTGTTGGCTCAACTTGTCAAGTTGAAGCATTACTCGACAGTCATCTCCTTGAATAACCAAATGGTTGTGTCAGGAATTCGTCCTAATGTTTATACCTTACACATTATCATGAATTGCTTTTGCCATATGCACCAAATGGGGTTTAGCTTGTCTATTTTGGGAAAATTCTTCAAATTTGGTTTTGAACCTGATGTCGCAACCATCAACACTCTAATCAACGGCTTTCTTCTTGAGGATAGAGAGTCTAAGGCAGCAGCACTTTTCAACAAAATGATGGAGGGAGGTAATTGCAAGCCGAATGCGGTTACTTTCGGTACCCTAGTAAAGGGCCTTTGCGCGAAAGGTAACAACACTGCAGCAATCCAGTTGCTTAAGAAGATGGATGAAAGAGGTTGCAAGCCTGACGTAGTTGTCTATAGCACGATCATCGACAGTCTTTGCAAGGATACTCAAGTTGTTGATGCATGGAAGCTCTTCTCAGAAATGACGAGCAAGGGTATTGCCCCAAATGTCATTACCTATACTCTTTGGTTCATGGAGTTTGCAAATTAGGAAATTGGAAAGAAGCTACAAGATTGTTGAATGAAATGGTGAGTAAACATATCTTTCCAGATGTGTGCACCTTCAGTGTTTTGGTTGATACATTTTGTAAAGAGGGGATGGTCCAGGAAGCAAGGAGCGTGGTCGAAATGATGACGCAAAGGAATATAGCACCCGATACAATTACTTACAATTCGCTTATAGATGGTTACTGTTTGCGAGGAGAAATGGACGAGGCGAAAAAGGTTTTTGAAATAATGCTTAGCAAAGGGTGCATGGTCGATGCTCATACTTATAGCATATTGATAAATGGCTATTGTAAGCATAAAAGGATAGATGATGCTCGGATGATTTTTCTGGAAATGTCTCATAAGGGAGTTGTTCCAAATACGGTTACTTACAACACTCTTATTGATGGGTTTTGCAAGATGGGGAGAACACAAGATGCGCAAAACTTGTTCTCTCAAATGCAAGCTTGTGGCCAACTTCCAGGCATTCAAACGTATAATATTTTATTGGATGGCCTTTGTAAAAACCAACAATTTCCCAAGGCAGTTGAATTGTTGGAAGAGATGGAGGGAAAGAAGTTGGATTTTAACATTGTAACTTATAATATTCTTATTGAAGGTTTGTGCAGAGCTGAAAAAGTTGAATATGCATGGGATCTCTTTTGTAGTTTATCATCAAAAGGAATTCAACCTAATGTCAGGACATATACTATAATGATCAGTGGATTTTGTAATGGGGGACTGACATGTGAAGCAGAAAAGTTGCTTAGAGAAATGGAAGAGAGAGATTGTTCTCCAAATGATTGCACGTACAACACAATTATCCGAGGGTTTATCAGTAACTACGAGACATCAAGGGCTATGAGACTTATTCAAGAAATGGTGGTGAGGGGTTTTTCTGCAGATGCATCAACTATGGAGTTGATCGTTAATTCACCCGCTATGTTGGCATTAATAGAAAGATCGTGATGAAATTGATTTACATCTTTGCAGTTTGGACAACTTTCGGTGCATCCTTCCCTTGAATGCTGCATTGGAGAGAGTTGTTCCACTGCTGAGTCCAGTTCATGTAGCCATTTGATTCACGCATCACTTAGTGACGAATGATATGTGCTATTTTAATTTAATCTATCAAGTGATTGGGCAACTTTTCTGTTACTCTTCTTTTAAGATGATGAAATCTGTTGGAGAAGCAGAGTATATGGACCGATATGAAATTTGTAGACATATTTATGGCTTGGTTTAACTTCTCGTTTGTTTTTTATGTGATAATTCTGTCAAGGATATGAGTCGGACAGAAGAAGAAATGGAGGAAATGATAGCTATAGGAGGAGGACTGAACCCATTTCTTAAAATTCTGCACTTCCTCTAACACATCTGATCAAACAAGGCATCCGAGTTCCATCACAAAAGGAACAGTCTGTATCCGCTCAAACGATGCCCAATGTGATTTAACGAAGAATATACGAATTCCATCTTTGCTTAAACATTTTTCTATCTGCACTATAAAATATTGAAAGAAGAGGGCCATCTCTCGGTGTACAGAAGCCAACTTAACTTTGGTCAGTTGCTTTTGCTGACATTTATACTTGTTTGCAATCATCAAGGTGAAGGATTCGTATTCCTTTTTTGACTGCTTTTTCTTTCTTCTAATAGTCAAATGGTAACAGAGTTATCCATCTCTTTCTTTCTCTCCTCCCATTGTTTTCAGGTCCTACGTGTATTCTGTTGCCAGGGAGTGTGACAACGGAAAAATTGACCCTAAGGTGCTGTAACTGCTGTTGGGGCTTCTAAATTCTTTTTTTTCACTTTAGTAAGTGATCTTACAAGTTCTTGGCATTTGCAAACAATAACTCTTCAAGGTACGAATTTTCAGGATTGTGCTGGAGTTATACTATGTACGGCTGAAAGAGCCACGCAGGTTGCTTTGCAGGTAAAAGATTCTGCACTTACTTCTGCAGATGTGTAATTTTTCTTACTCAAATATAAACCTCATTCGTGCCAATCAATTTAGTCTTATCTTGGCCAGACGAATAGTTTTCTACATATTGCTCGAATGCCCTTAATAAAGTTGGGTAATTTTCGTTCACGTGATTTGTTTCCTAGAGGTTTTTCGTAACTAGAACTGGGATTTGTATATCCATATGCTTGCAACAAACAGATGAGGGCTTGTGCATGATGACTTTACAAGTGCCGTGAACAAGTTTATTTGAACTTTGCAGGCTACACAATGTTTTGGTGGTAATGGTTATGTAAATGAGTACCCAACTGGCCTGTCTCCTTCGCGATGCCGAACTGTATGAGATCGGAGCTGGGATAGTGAGATCAGAATGCACATGTTCAATTGCTGAGCTGAAATGTGTGCAGCTCTCGCCTCTCGGGCACTGCATTCAAGATACACCCGGTGTTGCAGTCCGCCATTTGAGTTTCTTTCACTCGCACATTCCAGAATGCAGAATCAGGAAGAAGGATCGTAGCAACTGGTGCATCCATGATCAGAAAACGAGAATCAGAGTGTTCTTCGGGTAATAAAAACACTGAAAGTTCGGAAATTTCTTTACTTTTTCACCTTTGCTGTAAAACCGTACTCTATTTACCCGTGGTGGTAGCGAGGTTCAGCAGTCGTAGGCTCCGGACTCCGTTTCATCTCTGTAATTTTCAGTTAGAGACAGCATAATCTTTAATGTTTGAACCAAAGTCATGAATAAATCATTGATGTGGAGGGAAGCATCCTAAAGAAACCCTACTAGAAATCGTTTCATCTTCTCCAATATGTTGGAAACCTACAGAGTAATAGCACACATCAACAATTCATGCTCATACAAAGTTACAGTACTACATAATCAAACGTCAATCGGAAAGACGCCAATCTCCGGAAGGCCAAACATGTCTCGGTTTCAAGACTACGACAACCGCAACTACATAACTTAGGACTAGGAACTCAATAAAATACACAATTAGGTTCTGGTGTGCACTATTTGCATATGCAGATATAAGATTACAACAACACAATGACCACCCTGAATTTCATTATTTTTAGACCCGGATAGCCGTCGGAGAAGAATCCGGCTGGCTCACGGATGAGGACTTTGACACTTCAAGCATGACCGGCGCATGTTCCAAACAACTTTGAGTATCATCGCTGATCATTCCGATGGTCATCTTCTCCACTTCTTCCCGGGTATATATATGGATTTTGGAGACCACATTGCAAAATTCACTGCACCAAGAACACATCATTTCCGGAAGGTCATATACAAAAAGCACTTGTATGAATTGTTCAGAAACAAAACTTGCAGCTACATTTATGCTAATTAACTTAAAACAAAAGTTTATAAATGCAGAACTAGATATAAAATTCTACTTTCCGAGAGAGAGAGAGAGAGAGAGAGAGACGTACTGCCATGGGTCATCCCCAACAACCATCATATCGTTCTCACTATCAGTGTACAAGATCCGCCATCCTTTATCAGAATCTCGAAGAAGGCCTTCCATGCCAAACAGCCGCTCCAGTTCGGTCAGCAGGTCACCATAGCCATTCAGTTTTGCGAGATCAATGGCTCTTCCCACTAAGCTGCCTTGCTTGTGAACCTTCACTCAATATATGTAACATCAGTTGGCAAAGATGTCCTAGGCATGGCATTTTAGAGACCAACTTGAGGGCTACAATAGCTTACCTTTGTACAACTCCGCTTACTGGAACTCTGAGAGTTTGGAGAGGGATTGTCCCCGGTCAAGGAAAAACCAAAAAGTTTACACCCAGTAACAGTCCCGTTATAGTCTTTATCATTTGGATTTCTTGGATTTGGCACTAAAGCGGGAAGGGTAGAAGTACTCTCCTGTGTCTTATGTTCACAAGGTTTATTTGGCCTTCCAACTTCATTTCTTGCAACTCCCATCTGCATAGAGTATGGGTTGATTTGCATTTTCTCTCTGGGTAAGTTGGTAGCATTAGAGCACATTGTGGGATCTTGGCCAGCTCTGTGAATGTCACCATAAGGAAAGTACATATTTGGAAGGGATCCAGAAGCTAGAGAGAAATAATTTGGTTTGGGCGGTTGATAAACGTTGAAAGGTGCGCAACCATTGTTGGATTCCCAATCACCTAGGGTGAAATTTGCTTTTCCTGTCAACGATCTCAATGGGCATATTTCTTGACCTTGCAAGACTTTTGGAAATCTATCTGATTCCGCAAATCCTGTGTAGGGGGTGCGGCGAGCCCTCATAAGCTCATCAATAGTAGCCTTCTGTGTTGCATTTGATGCAAGACTTAGATGTGCCGGAGCGTGCATCTCAAAATCTTGCGGGCGGTTTACAGTATCACCCCCATAGAGGGGTGATATGAAACCTATATTTTCTTGACCTTGCAAGACCTTAGAGGATTTAACTGATTCCTCAAAGTCCTTAAACCCAGCCCCTCCAGCTGCAAGAAAATTCACATATTGAGGACCAATGATGATGTAAAAAATGCTTGCAATGTTATTGGGAAGTATCGTACCAGTGATGGAGGGGATGGGTGGGGTTCCCTGCAGACTTGTCCGCAGTTTCTTCAGTCTTGGAGAAGACTGGATGCTCAAAGGTGGGAGAGAAACAGAAGGATCAACCTCCCACAGCGAGACTCTTTCTTGATGATCATTTCCTATATCTTCATCCCATCTGACCTGGTAACGTAACAAATAAAGGTGTAAATGTAACACCACAATAATAGAACTATAGTTTGTGAAGCTGTCATTTCTTTACACGAAGTGCATATGCAGTGCATGCATAGATGCATTTCAATAATTCAGCACTCTCTCTCTCTCTCTCTCTCTCTCTCTCTCTCTCAGAAAAACACGGCATGCAGTTCATTATCGGTTTTAAAAAAGGAAGATAAAATACGAAGCATACCATCAAGCATCTCCATTTTGAGTTTGGCCATCGAAACGGATCCAAGTCGGTGATACCAGTCACTACACCACTACACCTACAAGAAACCAGAATCTATACTGTGTCAATAAAAAGTCTAACAAGGAAAACATGCTGGCCATGCCATTGAATCAACTTATAAATACCTTCTTTCAGGTGAATCATCCCTATCAAATCTCATTTTGAATCGTGTCCCGGTGGTCACCGGATTAGTGATGCTTTTGACATATTTTTGGTAGGGAATGACAAACTCTGCATGGCTTGCCCTGCATCACAGAAATTTAAACAATTTGAAAAGATTCTGTCAATGCATAACCCCGTCCATGCATGTTTACGAATCTTGGTGAAAAAAAAAATCTGTTTTTGTTTTTGATAGATGATTTGAGCAATGGAAAGAGAGGTTACTTCATTAAGCATACAATGGAATGAAAGTAACCATATTTAAGCCTCGTCGAAAGAGAATAAACCTTAAAAGAACGGTTTGCACAAAACACAGGACGAACAAGCTGGTAGATTCTGAAGTTAAAAGATAACTAGAATTATCAGTAGATTTCCGTGTAACTCATGCCAACTGTTGTGATATCCAAAAGTGGAAATACCCCAACTTACTAGCACTTGCCGTACTAGTTTATGGAACCGTATTAACAAAGTAGTGTACTAAATTATTAATGTCATCTCCTTATTTAAGTAATCGCGTCAAGTTCTTGTTTTCTATTGTTTGTGCTTCTTTACCACGAGAACAGGACAAGCATATTTAGATCATACACAAAAAATGTGCAATCATACAGATACGCCACATTTAGTGATCAAATGAAAAATGTTAAGTACGAAAATGCAGAGTATATAAGGGTTCATAAAAACTGTGTGTCAAAACTAACATCACCAAAAAGTAAAGCGGAATAGTATTGTACTAGTACCTTGGACTGTAGAATACATGAAACATGCTCTTGGTGGATATCGCATTAGCCACGAAAGAAAGAACACTAGGGTACGAATTCTGGTTGCCTACAACTGAATCAGGAAGACCATTTCTAGGTCGAACAGCTCTTCTAATTCCCAACCTCAGCTCTCCGTTTTCACCCCTACAAAGACCATTGTAAAGTATTTAAGTTACCGAGGTTACCAGACAATGAACAAAATCAAAGAAACTTTTAGCTTCAAATAGAAGTTAAATTAGTCTTGTTCCAAAGACATAATATTCTTTCATAATAGACAAGGTACACGTAACATAAGTCTACATCCTATAATGTGCGGAAATCTATTTTCGCCTTTGGACATAAAAGTATTTGCATTCCAGCAGCAGAGATTCTTTTACAGAGAAAAATAAATATGTATGCTCAACCAACTACAATATGGCCAATCAACACTTTTTATGATCCTTAGTAATTATTAATAGCTCCTTCACAAGGAAATCTCCGAAAGAATCAACCATTAACATCATTCAGGCAAAAGGCATATTTTTGGCTACTTCTCACCTGTTAAAATATCGATGATAGCCTTTGAATTGGTAGAGAAACAAATTTGAGTGATTCCTAAGCCATGATCAATTTGAAACTAAAATAGTCAATTAATTGCAGTTACCTCAAAAAAAGCACAGCATCCCCCGCTACAAGATTCTTTTGGCTTATGAAAATACTCCATCCTGTAGTGAGCAGATGTCGCCTTGGCTGACCTGATGAGTAATACGCTCAGAATCATACCAAATTAACAATCAATCAAACCGAAAGAGGAATTCTAAATGATTTACCTCTATATATATGTCGAAACCTCCACTCTACCCCGTGTAGGTCCTTTGCAACAAGTTCTTGAGACGGCCTCTGCTGTTTATAGTCCTACCGATAAAAGAAGAATTCTATTAAAAGATATACAAATAGAAAAACCTTCGATGGAAAACAGAGAAATATAAATGCATTTATTCATACCAATGGAGGAAAGCAGTCTTCAGCAGCTCTCCGAGGAACAGAAAACCCTCCGTGTGTACTGGTATCGGAAGCTGTAAGCGTTTTGCAAAACATGTGAGGGGTTGATTTTGTAGGTGATCCTCCATCCCCCTCATCCACTCCCAACTCTTCAAGCTCTTTCCCTTCCAAATTTGTTCCTACCAACTACAGAATACCCAAAATCCACATCCTAATTATAACCGCTATAAACCGATAAAATTGAGCAGCCACTACGAAAAAATAGCATTCCAACAGAAACTTCAAGTCCACAACAATAAAAGGTTAAGAATTAAATAGAACAATTCCACTCCAAATTTCATTGTTTATTACAATCATACCTCAGGCTGAGGAAGCAAAGTGACATGTGTGTAGACCTCATCATTCTCCTTGTTAGCCTGTTAATTCAAGAAGCAACAAATTCAATAACCAAATTAAATACCCAGAAAATATTTGAGAAAATAATAACAAAATAAATACAATGCTGGGAGTTTCATATGGAAAGGTTACTCACAAGCAGCTGGACATTCACAACCTTGCAGAAGATCTGCGGGTGGAGATCAAACGTGGGCATCTCCATGGGAGAGAAAGGAGAGGAGGAGGCAACTTGCTCCAAGTGGCCTTGTGGGAAGTAGACAACCACATTCCCTTTCTTGGGGAGTGAGATGAGAGGGCCAGCACAAGCATGCCAAAGCTCCAGATAAATTGAGGAAGCCACAGGAGCTGAGGATGAATTGGAAGAAGATGAAGAAGTTGAAGAGGACAAGCAATAAACACAAACACCGCCACAATCCCCATTGCAATAAGCATTCTTCTCCACCTCCCTCACTGCATGGTTCAGATCAATTTCCATGAATGTTCCCCAGAATTGCTCAAGAAAAAGTGCTTCCCAGATAAGCAGTCCCAAAAGA